TGGAGAGAGGTTTTGCTACTGCATCTGCCAGTTCTTTCGGGACCCTCAGATGTATTCCATTGGGTCCCATGGACTTGCACACCTTCAGGTTCCTCTGTGAACTCTTTGCCTGGGTGAGAAGATTGTTAGGTTTAAGGTGTAAGCTCACACTTGTTTAGACAAATACATGCCCATCCCTGGAGGATGAGCCTTTTTCAGGTTTTGTGTGCTTGCCCCTGTTGTAGCTTGATCTGGCTGAGCAGTAGGTTAGGATAGATAGCAATAAGCTGTTTGGAAAGTAGAGTGGCACAGTCAGATGAAGATTGGCACTAGTCTGATAAAACCAGTTCAAATGCCTGTTTAGAGAAACAAGGGAAGTAGTCGAGTACAGGAAGCTAAAGGCATGTGAGATCTCAAGTTTATTCCCTACGTGAACACTTGAGTTTGCACAGAAATGTCGGTACTGGAGTAACTGGTTGTTTGTTGGTTTATAATGCCAATACATTGATGATGTTGTTGTTCACTTGCAGCTGCGCTGAGAGCTTGCGCTGATGGAGGTGCCAATCGTCTCTATCACATCACGGAAGGAAGCCAGGAGAGGTATGTTAACAATAAACTTGAAATTATTGAAGTCCTCTCTTCTCAGTGAAAGTAAAATCTGCAGGGAGAGGATCTGTTTGGTTACTGAAGTAGGGCCTGCTCTGTGAGTGGCACTTTAATGAACTGTGGCAGGTAGTATAATATTTTTTCCACGTTTTTTAAAATTTTTATTCCCAGTTACCATTTTTAAAAACACACAGGTAGCCCGAAATAACTTTTATTCCTTAAGCCCACTGGTCTTTTTTCCTCTTGAAAGCTCTGCTCTCCGTCTGTCTTTATGCATCCGTCAGAGCTAGGCCTTTGATACAGCCTCTGAAAAAACTTGCTGTGCCCCTAGCAAGGGTTCACTAGGGGAACATCTGATGCCTCTCACCGAGAGCTGAAACAAGTATGCCCTCTTCATTCTTCTTGTGAGGCCTTAGAAGAAATGTGTTTTCTTTGCAAAATGAGATGGGTGATAAAATAGAAAGTCTCCTTTTCTGCCTGCATTAATTCTAAATTAGCATCAGGGCACCATACGTGACCAAACGCGAGCACAGAGGTGACCTATAAATGTATATCCTAGGGTAAGGAAATACGACTGAAAGTAGAAAATATCCTTGTTGTCAGTAATGGCAATTAAAATTGGAAAATATCCCAGGTTTCTGACTCAGGAGAGTTGATGGGTTGGGGTGTGATGCAAAATACTGCATTCAAGTGGTTTCTCATTTTTGTACTGAAACCACGGAACACTCTGTATTCTGAGGTTCCTAAGGATCCTTTGTGCTTGTCTTTAGGATTTCCAGTTATTTTGAGCAAGAATTCCTAAATATAAGTTTAGTAAAAGCAAATAAATTAATAAAGCTGAGTCCCAGGGCAAAGGAATGAGACAGGTATTTGTTAGAACTTACAAACTTATGAATGATTTTCTTCAAACAGCAAAATCCGGTACATATTTTGTGTTTCATCTCATGGCAAGCATATGACAGAGGCCAGGGGAAGCTTGGCTTCCTCCTGTCCTTCATCCCAAGACCAGAATTGGAGAGTTACAGTTTTAAAGTAAAGGTTAACTTAAAATTTCTTCCTTTGTCACCTGTGAGAGGTTTGATGGCTGAGATCTACAACTGCTAAAACCAAGACTAGACTCTGTCAGGCACTACTAGCTGTTGTAGGAGTATTCATTCTGTAATCTGCTGTTTCCCTTCTCCTCGTAGTTGCTAACAGAACCACACACAACTTAATCCTGAATTCCAACGTAAATCTGTTTGACTTGCAGCAAGCAGTTCTCTCTGGTAATGGTGATGCTTGCCAAAGAACAACATTTTAGAGCTTTCATTTTACCTTCTCCTGTAACCCATTCATCTCTTCTGATCTCCTTTATGTCTGGATTAAATAAATATAATTCAGGGGAAAATGAATGATTATACCTTGATTGAATAGTTCTTTCAATCTTAACATACTTGGCCCTTGGAGTATTCTTTTTCTCTATCTTTCTTCTTCTCATCTTAATTGCCTTGGGTAGGTATATTTTACCTTCAAAGTGATTCTTTTGAAACAAAAAGACCTGCATAATTTTGATTTTTGTCTTTAAAGAAATCATTCTGCTGGAAAGAATATTCATTTACTTCTCTGAAGTATTTTCCCTCAAATTCCCTGTCCAGTGTTACTAAAGAGCTCTCTGCTCAGACTCCACTGACATGCTAATCATTTTTTTTAATGCTGTCTTAACCTTCTCTTTAAAACTCTATTTTATTCAAAGCCCTGATATCTAATTGTGTTGTATCAAACCATAAAAACTGTAGTTCTTTAATTCTAGGGAGATTAGTATGTCCAAGAGATACACATAAAGAACTTTCGGTCCTGATTCTCAGTGACACCAAAGTGCCTGAGGAATCTTTCAGAGTGAGACTAAATTATAACATTCTGACAAAAGTACAGCTTGCAGTATGGAACTGTTACAGGGCTGTCTTCCTTTGGCGGTAAGTAAAGTAGTTGTTGTTTTGAAGAGTCCGTTTCCAAATCTTAGAAGAAGATAGGGCTAGAAATGACCTGAAGACATCCATCCTTCTTTCCTTTTGCTTCAGGCTGAAGCCAAACGTATCTGTTCCATTCCTGATGCATACCTCTCTAGCTGGTTCTTAAAAGTCTTCAGGTGGGAGCACCACCATGTCCAGCTTCCTCTGTTTTAGGCTAAAATGTACCATGCCCCCATCAGTTTCCTGGTTGCCTCATCTGTGTGTTGACTTGTTTCGGTTCTTGAGCAGTTCACCTGTTCCCATCAAGCAAAGGAAGCTCTCCCCTTCCTCCATAGCACTGTGACTTCAGGTCATGAGGTTTGTGTATGTAAGATATAACATGTCTTCATCTGTGTTTGTGGTGTCATTTGTATGATGTGTTTGGTTGGTTTTCATAGAATCACAGACTGGTTTGGGTTGGAAGGGACCTTGAAGATCACCTGGTTCCAACCCCTCTGCCATGGGCAGGGACACCTTCCACTAGACCAGGTTGCCCTTGAGCTTCACATCCCCCCCAGCCCCTCTCTGTTGGGGAGAACAAGGTCCAGCATGGCACCCCTCCTGGTCGGCTCCTCTGTCACTTGGATAAGGAAGTTGTCATCGACGTATTCTAGGAATCTCCTGGCTTTCTTGTGCCCTGTCATGTTGTCCCTCCAACAGATATCGGGGTGGTTGAAGCCCCCATGAGGACCAGGGTATGTGAACGTGAGGCTGTTGCTATCTGTCTGTAGAGGGCCTCATCCACTCGCTCATCCTGTCCAAACTTTTCCCCTAAGTTTCTGTAAAAACTAGCTCAACAAACATGAATTGCAATTATTCTTATTTAAAAGCAAACGAACCCAAGAAAACCTTCATGTTTGTAACTAGGGATAAGGAGAAATAATGCTGGGGATTGTTTTTTCAATGATGTGTTAAAACAAATTACTTTTAGAGCAGGAGGGGTAGGAAAAGTAACCAAAAGGGCAGGATAACTTTTCCTCAGAGAGCCCATCTTTGGGAGCTGTCAGTCCTGGGGACAGAGGAAAGGCCGGAGGGAAGAAGGGACGGACTCCCATGCTCTGTTGCTTTTCTCTACAGCCCAGAAAGGTTATTTTCATTAGACTGTGCTTTTTCTTTGTTATCATCAGTTCCCATTTAGAAATAAGGATTATAGCTAAGCTGTTCTTGATTGTTAAACATTTGCAGCTGATCAAAGTTATCAGAGTTAAAGGTGAATAACTGATCTTTATGGGTTTGTTTTTTTTCCCTGCCTTACTCTGTCTGCCTTGCCTTTCCTGTTGTTTCCTTGAATCACTGTAAAGCAGTTACCCACTTCAGCGTTAGGTTCTTCCTTATCTGTATCACACAACAGCAACTTCTTTCTCAACACATTCTGATTCAATCTCAAGGCATCGATTAACCTGGGTGTCACTGGCTTTGGGGTGTATGAAGGTGAAGATGCATCGAAAACTATCATCGTATTGGCACCTGTAAAAACAATCATTAGTACTTGTTTCTCAGATGCTATTTTCCAGAGAGATGTCAAATCCATCGTGTATACAGGTTTTGCACTATTAAGAGCTTCAGGACAAAGGGGGGAGCAGTGGGCTCTATAAGAGGAAGGATAATCCTATCGTGAAAAACACCGGCTTTCTGGGGTTCTGTAGTGTTTCAGTACATCAGACTCACTGTATGGCATGAGGTGGGTTGCCTACAATCACTAGGAACAATAAGCCATTGAGTCAGAAGGAATCAAGGGGATTGGTTTGCAAGGTGATGTCACTTTTTTAACTTGGATTTAACAAACTCTTTTTATGTCCCAGGCTTTGTGTTGAAAAGCTAAAGTGGAAAATAGAAGCCTTAATTCTACAGCGTTTATAGCTTACACTTACTGAGTATTATACTTGCAAGTGCCAATGAGTAAATTTAGACGTATCACAAACTTTTCAATACCGACTACTCCTGAGGAGTTTCTTGTCCTTCACTTGCCTGGAAATGCTTTCCAGGGTTAGTCGCTCCATCACCTTCCCAGCGATTGAGATGAGGCTGAGCAGTTTGCCGTTCTCAGAGTCTTCCTTCTTGTCATGACTGTCTTGAAGAAGGGCATTTCCTTTCCTCCAGTCTTGGGGGACTTCTGCCAGACGCGATGGTTGGTCAAAGATTATCAAGAGCGGCCCTGCAGTGACATCGGCCAGCTCTTGCAGCACTCGTATGTGCATCTCATCTGGTTGCATGGACTTATATGTCTGTTTTGCACAAGTATTCCCTGACCTGATCCTCTTCCACCAAGGGTACATCTTCCGTGCTCCAGTCTTTCTCCCTGGTCTCTGGTGCCTGGGATTCCTGGAGGCTGATCTTGCTGGTAAAGGTGGCATTCAGTACCTCAGCCTTTTCCATGTTCTGTGTAACCGGGTCCCCTGTTTTATTCAGCAGCGGGCCCACATTTTTCCTAGTCTTCCTTTCGTCACCTCTGTACATAGAGAAGCCCTTCTTGTCTTTGACATCCCTGGCCAGATTCAATTCCATTTGGGCTTAGCTTGCCTAACTTCATCTATCCCCAGGCTGAGCTCCATGCACTCCAGCTCTCACATAAAGGGCAACTCCTTCTTCATCATCTTCCCATCCTGTCCTTCCTGAAGAGCCTGCATCCCCTCACTGCAACACTTCATCCATGCTTCCATGATCCCAACAAGATTGTAACTCTACAACTGCACACAGATCTCTATCTTGTCATGTTTTTCCCCATGCTTCATGCATTCTCCAAGGTTTTACCTTGCCTCAAAAGTTTGAAAAGGTAGCAATAGGCTTAACCTTTGAATAGGAAAACCAAGCTGGTGTAACTTCCGTAAGGAATAGTAGTCGTGTATTTGCTTGTGTAAAAGGTGGAAAGATAACTCAGAGTGGAATTGTCTGTATATTTTGATGGCTTCATGTGTGCATTTTGGCAATCAGTGAGGGTAAGTAGTGCCAACTGACCAGCTGTCCTGGCTTCCTTTGTTGGCTTGTGCAATCAGCTTGTTATAACTA